ACACACACACACACACACACACACACACACACACACACACACACACAAGAATGTATTCCTCACAGGGAGGGAGAGGGAGGTAAGGAGGGAGAGGAGTAGGGAGGGAGACACACAGAGAGACAGAGAGAAGTCAACAGAACTACAGACTTGTTGGGGGGTCTCTTGAACATCAAATATCCTGCCAAATACAGTGGAAGCGTGGTCATACTCAGTCTTCATGGTGACTTACGGAGGTGGATGCCATTGTTGTACCAGTTATATAGAAATTCAAAAGGACAGAGAAGCAGAGTGTGGTTGACACATAGTTTCCAAGGGGAACAATGCATGTCTTTAAAACCTTCACTATCAGCTCTGTATTCCCTTCCCTCCCCTACAAATCAATGAAAGAGTTTGCTGATGAACTTTAAGCTAGGGCTGGAGAAAGCCTGCCTCTGCGGTAGATGGATGAACAGTTGCTATGGAGATGGACCTAAACAACCACTCCAGGGCAGAGCCCTGAGCAAGGACTGTCCACGTAGTAGAAAGTTGGGTAAAGGTGTCTAATGTACCCTTCACTGGCCCACTGTGTCTCTTCCCACTCTTACCTGCACTGTTTGTACTGTGTAGATTTTCTTCAGATTCGAGGCACACTCAGCTGCTGTGGCACCAGGGAGTGATCTATAATCAGAAAAATAACAAAGAAGCAAACAATTCCAGTCAGTAGCTATTCCACAATATAACTATGCGGGTTTTGACTGGGCACAGGTCTAGAGCCTCAGAAACGGACATCTAGAGATAGGTGGCAACTAGAATTTAAATCCTTTTTTCTGAGGGCATGTATTTGCTTTTCCTAATAGGCAGAAATATTTATTCTGTGGAAATTTAATAGATAAAAACGGTAAAGTACATGAGAAAGGTATTGGAAGCTTTAAAATCACATAGTGACAAAAACATGAGAAGATCTTACTAACATGTGAGCATTGTTCAGGACTTCAGATTAGAAACTGTCCACTTTGCCGTTGGCAATGTGAATGCAAAGCTCTTCTCTGTGATCAGCTTAAAACTCCTGTAATACCCTCGTGGTAAATACCCATGCTCCCCGTGGAAGCAGAGGACCAGTCAGCTATTTTAGAGACCACTATTAAGAGTCAGTCTTGGTTTCTCCCCTACATTTCTTGCCTCAATACTTTCAAGTGGTTTTCCCTGAGCTTTTGTGAACTCTATGGGCAGAATATATTAATCTCTAGTTTCTATATGTTCCACTAGATGGCAACACACTACAGGTTTATCCTCTGGGAAAAAAAAATCACACTTTGGCTTTCCAAGTACAGTTCCAGGGATGGAGCTGTGTGACTCTATAGGTGTTCAGATCTAGGGGTATTCACACCTATAGCATTACTGTTTTTCCTCTGTCCTGCCTACTTAGCAGACTGTGCTCACAGGCACTAGGGTCTTTGTCAGTAGCAGGTTTAATGACACTTCACCATACAAACAATGCTCAGAAGCCCATGTCTGGCTGTGGGCGAGAAATCAAGGGCTTGCTAAGAAGGAACGCATCCTGTTCACAGCAGACATGCTAAGATCTAGAATGTATGAAAAAACATTCTTCACCAGCCACTGACACTAACAGTCCCAGAGGTTATTGTCAGGGGACACCCTAAAGATGTAGAGAAAACCCACACCATCTCTGAAGCAGAGGCGACGAGACAAAGGCCCTGGGGACAGGACTCCACCACCCATATTCTGGAACCACGGACCAATGAAAACATCAGTGCTGGGGAGATGGCTCAGTGGGGGAAGTGCTTGCTTGGTAAGCATTAGGACCAGCGTTCAGACCCTCGCTCGGCATCCATGTGAAAGCCAGGGGCAGTGACAGACATCTGTAACCTCAGTCCTGGAGAGGGGAGACAGGTGGATGCCAAGCGCTTGCTGGTCAGTCATCTTGCTGAAATGGCAAACCCCAGGTTCAGTGACAGACCATCCTGACTCAAACTAAGGTGGAAAACAATAGAGGGAGATACACAACATCAACCTATGGCCTTCACGCGTGAGTCTGAACGGTGGCATACACATCCATCCATCACACACACATACACAGATAAAAAATATCAAAAGACATTTCAAATATAGCTCACTTGTCTAGAGCCAGTAAGGACGCAAGTATGAACTAGTTGGAGGGCAAAGATGTCCTGTTACCCATTAGGTAGGTAAATTCTAATAAATAATAATTTTATAACTCCTAGCTTTTAGGCTATGGCCTTTATGTCTTAAAAGCAAAACCACAACCACAAACGTGACTGCCCTTCTGTGCCAGCTATCATGTACCTAAGCCAACCTGAGCAAACAGCGGCAACAAACACATAGGGACCGACACTCTGTTGATAACTGTAGCTGTCTGGACCCAAAGAAACCCATTGGGCATCATGGAGGGTCTGGACTGTGGTTATTAAAGCCTCTACTTGGACACAGATAAATATGCTATGTAAAGCAGGTTAGTGTGCTTGCAGATTATAAAAACATTAGGAAAAAAACCCAAAAAGTACTTCTCTCTCTCCTTCTCCCTTTCCCCCTCCCCAACTGGCATAAACTGTTTGAAAGACTATTGCTTTTACATGAAAATCAACTGGCACTTAACCCAGCTAAGTTTTCTTTCTTTGTACCGTCTGGCTGAGTGCTCCACCACATACTCCAAGCAAATATATTCCTGGATCCTACAAGCACTTTAGATAGGACTCCACCCCTAACTGCACTCAGGAAGCGGGCAGGCGAGAGCCTAAGGTAGGAAATGAATTCTGCAGCTTTTTAATCTGTAGAATAAAATTATACATTTGACATTTTCACTGATTTTTAAAGCTACTCTTCAATTTAGGATGCCTTAGAGGGAGTGTCTAATGTGTTCACTTTGTACAGTATCATCGCAAATTACACAAACCCAACATTCAGGTGGTGGTTTCCATTTAACTTTCAAAAGTTACTAACGAGCCCTTGGTCTCTAAGGCTCTTTCTAAAGCTTCTGATTCTAGTCTGGTTTTGTGACACTCTAGGGTAGAGATAATTGTACAAGTCACTTAAGATCTTTGCTTCAGTGTCCAAGTGTTTGAAGATGCTGAGTCTCCAGAGCTCAGGAGAAGCATCTGGAAGGAAGGAACTAAGATACACTCACCAGTGGAAGCAGCAGAGTTTGGCAGCCAGTGTAAGGAGCCAGGCTCCGGCTGCTATTGAGTGACAAAGTCCTGCAGGGGCCCCTGTAGCCTGCAGTGGTGCTTGTGACCATTTTGCAGTGAGCACACCGGGGCTCAGAAAGGCATGGCAACGTTCCCAGGGACAAAAACATTTAATAAAACCAGATGATGTGCTTGTGACAGTCTCTCCTTATCCCACACTGCACAGCCACCCAGTCAAGTCTCAGCGATGACAAAACCTGCATCTCATATATGCTAAGCATATTTCTGTATGTGCACATCTGTGTGTATGTGTGGACCAGGATATCGCCACCCATCACTCTCTACCATCATTTGGAAGATGGGGTCTCTCACTAAACCTCCAACTTACCAACTGACTAGGCTGTCTGGTCCATAAGCCCCTGGGATCCTCCTGAATCCTGCTGTGCTGCTCTGGAATTGCAGGCATGCTTAGCACACCTGCCTCTTTACCTGAGGACTGGGGATCAGCACCAAGTCTTCACGCTTGCATAACAAGCACTATCTCTACAGCCCACACTTGTATTTCTAAAAGTACAAAAAACAGAAAACAAAACAAAACAAAAAAACAAAAAATCAACCCTACCCTTTCTGATTGTGTGTGGAATGTACGCATGTGTATGTGAGTGTGAATGTGTCCCTGTATATGAATGTGTATGCGCTATGTTCATTCATACGCGCACACCTGGAGGCCAGAAGCTGATGTCAAGTGTCTTCCTCTTTAACTGTCTGCTTTTAAATTATTTATCTTTTTCAGAGACAGGGTCTTTAATATATTTCACTGAACCTGGAGTTCGCTGTTAGAAATACATTAGTTCTGCATTAAGGCTCTAGGGTTCTGCTGTCTCAGTTCCCCACTGCTGGGCCTGGGGGTGGGGTTATAAACCCACCAGGTGTGGCTTTCACACAGGCATGGCTTGCACAGCTACTGAGCCATCTCCCTGGCCCCATTCGCTGCCATTTCTCCGGGAAACTTTACTGTAGAATCTTGGTGTGTTCTCAAGAAGCCACCACTTCTGCTTAATGTTATTATTAATTCAAGAGTGAGTCTAGGAACTAGAAGACGTGGCTTAGAATAGTCTTTCCAGTGAAACAGGGTAGGGAAGGTCTTCACAACACCCAACAGGAACATGCTCAGCCACAGCCAGCCTTTGACAGGCTAACAGCATCAGGGCTAGGAAGGAAATGTCACAGACAGAAACGCTGTGTGTGGTGATTAGAATGAAAAATAACCCTGTTTGAAGAACTGTACCGCTGTGGCAGCACTGTTTCGGGGCAGGCTACGGAATCTTTTGGGAGTAGAGCCTTGCTGGATGGAAGTCACTAGGGTGGGATTTGAAGGCTTACGGCCTCCTTCCTCTTATGGCCTCCTTCCTCTTTCTGTTCTCTGCTCCCTGTGCGCAGACGAAATGTGATCAGTCAGCTTCTTACTCTTGCTGCCACACCATGCCTTTCCCTGCCATGATGGAGTGTGCAATCTGTCTAGTTCTCAAGAACCCTAAGCAAATATAGACCCTTTCTCCCCCAGGTTACATCTGGACATAGTGTTTGATCCTACGGACCGCAAAATAGACAGTTTTCCAGTTACTTCATGAAGGAGGTTGTGATTCTGATTTCAGAGGGCTCGTCTAGCTGCTGGGTAGTTTTATGAACATTAGTCTTGCAGACCAGTACAGCAATGTTGTCGGGCCTGTGTTGGCTTGGATGGTCAGTATGGGTTTGGTATTCTACACACCACACTTGATTCTGACAGTCACTAAAACACACTACTGTATCTCAACCTCATCCTGAACCTCGGGTTTCCTTAACCAGCAAGACTGGGACACAGCCACAGAGCCCATTTTAGAAGGGCAAACAAGCCAAGGTTTTCAAGTGGCCTGCCTTGTAAACAGGCCAATGTGCGCTGGATTCGCTGATTCATGTTACTGGTGTGCTGTCATTTACTGTGATGCTTTCTTATTACTGAGGGCCTCACACCTCGGTAATCCAGACCTCACACACATTAGGCAACTGGGTTACATCCTCAGCATTTAATTTAATATTTTGAGACAGAGTCTCATTATGTTGTCCATGCTGGCCTTGAACTTGAAATCCTTCTTCTGCCTCAGCCTCCTGAGTAGTTGGGGCTCTAGGTCTCTGACTGTTTCCTGAGAAGGCAATGCAGACTGAGTAAGGCTGCTGCTACATAAACAACCGAAGGGCAAAGATCTAGAATAGATTTCAAACAAGAGACATTCTTACTAAAACCACGTATGCAACATATATCTTTATTGTATATTTTTCCTTTATCAATACCAGAGAGCTCATCTTCTACACAGAATACTAGTCAAAGCCCTCTGCCTGCAGACCTGGGTGCTTATCTGGAATGGCTGTGACCAAGGAGATTAAAGGCAATATTGGAAGGCGTTTTGTGTTGCTATAAGTCAGCAGGTGAACCTCCATAATGCCCCACAATACAGAAGCTTCTGACAAAAAAAA